CAACCTATCAATCTTGTACTTTCCCAGAGAAATAACCAGCCAAACAACCCATATGCCAAGTCTAGGGGGTGACCATTGCTGGAGAGGTACAAGCAGTCTGGACACAGGTCTAATAATTGCATTAATCGCCAAAGGCAAATTAATTTGGCTTAGCACACCAGAGATGTAGAGGAACCACGGGATAAGGAGGAATACACTTGTGGTTGAGTATGACTACAACTAGCCAGTGTATATGGTGCGCAAAGTGGAGCCTGTTAAAGAGGTGGCTACTCAATGTGATCAACTTTTTAGTACCACATGAACAATTTTTAACTGCATTTTTTACTTAATTATTGACAATGGAAGTTGTGAGAATATTATTTCTAGCTCCTTAGTGAAATTAGCCAACTTACCTGTAGAGAAACACCCTGAACCTTGTAGGTGGTGGGTTGGATAAAGAATATGGATCCCGTGAGGATGACTGAGAGGTGTAAAGTGAATTTTCCATAGGCGGATTTTACAAAGATAAGATAGTTTATGATGTGTTGACATGGACACATGATGTGTTGCTTGGGAGCCTTAGCAGTATGACATGGATGTGAGTCTGAGCAGAAGGGATGATATTTACTGTTTTGTCAAGGATAGTTGGAAGATCATATTACTGCCTCTAAAGCCGAGGTCTCAATTTATTGCTATCAATTGTTAAATATTGTGTTACTGAAGTGCGAGTCAATTGTAGGTAAAGAGAAACATGAAGACAATAAATTTGATGCCCTATCTCTTGACAAAAATATGGAGATGATATCACTAGGATTGCAATTAAGACCCAACAATGTAGAAGTTCGTGTTATTCGGGAGGAATATTGCTAGCTCATTTTGACCTTGATGGATGGTGTCAAGGTTTTGAAACCCAACCCGGACCGTTTGTCGGACCAATTGAACTGTCGATTGGGCTGCTAGGCGGGCCGGGTTATGCCTCGAACCTGGAGGGGTTAAGAAACCACCCTCTTTTGTGAAAAGCAATTAGCCCGAATGTTTTGACCGCTAGACCGTTGAACCGAAACAGTTTTCATTAAACCGACCAGTTTCTTGCCCAACTTTAATTAACCAAAAAAAAATTAATTTTGGTCATCTAGTCTAATTCAATGACATTCCAAAGATAAACCTTACAAATTACCAATGCATAATTGCCTCCAATTAGTTAGGTATTAACAATTATTACCTTCTTTCTACTCCTCACTCTCTCTCTCTCTCTCTCTCTCTCTCTCTCTCTCTCTCTCTCTCTCTCATAATGATATCTTAACTTTTGTCTAACATTTATTGCATATAGTATGTTAATTATGTTAACTCTTTAGTGCGTTTCAATTGTTTGTCATTACATTCTATGTATTTTTATTCCTTTCTTATAAACTACTTATCATATAATTTTGGAAAATTAAAAATGTAAAAAATTAAAGATGTAGATAATAATGCTATTCTATATTTCTTTTACATTTTACTTATAAAAGTTATTCTTGAATTTCAAACAAGTAAGACAAAAAAGATTAGAATAAGGATTGAAGTGATTCTTTTTAACATTATTATTGATGTTTCTGCAAATATTTGCATATTTTTAGATGTTTAATATTTATGATATATTTATGACATCATGGGTTAATAACGGTTTTGCCCGGTGGTTGAAGCAGTGACCTTTGATCCAATCATTTTTTCGAGTCAATGAACGGTCTGGGTTTCAAAACCTTGGATGGTGCAATTCATACAATGCAGTTCGTGGCAAATGTTTTCCTAGGAAAGTTGCGTTTTCCTACACACCTCCAATTTGCAATGGTATGGAAACCTTACAAGTTTAGAGGGAGAATTGTTGGAGCACTTGTTCGTTCTTGTGTGGCAATGGTATGGAAACCTTACAAGTTTAGAGGGAGAATTGTTGGAGCACTTGTTCATTCTTGTGTGAGATTTCTCTACGAACTCGAAGTTGAGTTCTTCTCAAGTAGGAGGGACTGATGTAGAACACATAGTGGATGTGTTTTGGAGTACAATGGATTGTGCAAAGAAGAAAGATCATAAATGAGACGGGCCTAGCAGAGTTTGGCGCCCAACTTAGGCCAGTCATTGTTTAGTTCTTATTCAGTTTGTAGAGCCACTATGATGGGCGCCGTAGGGCTGCAAACGAATCGACTCGCGAGCGGCTCGAGTCGAGTTCGAGCTGCCTCGAGTCGAACTCGAGCTCAAAATATTAAGCCCGTTAGGCTCACAAGCTCGAGTATATATATATATATATATATATATATATATATATTATTTTAAGTATATATATTTTATATTTTTTTAATTTTAATAGTAAAATTACATATATATCCTTAATATTTTATTATTTATTAAGAAAAAAATTATTTTATTTATTTTTTAAAAAAATAAAATAATTATTTTTTATTTTTTTCAAGCTCGAGTTCGAGTTCAATGAAATTATATCGAAACTCGGCTCGATTAAGCCAAAACTCGACTCGACTCGGCTCGTTTGCAGCCCTAGCGCCGGTCATTGAGCTTGATGTAAGGCTGAACATTGCTTGATGTTGCTGCTTATTTCCTCGTTTTATTTTATTTTATTTTCTTTTCTTTTGGTTCATAAATATTGTAGTCTATAAATTGGCCAACCCTAAGTACTTCTTATTATTCATTCATCAACTTTGATCAAACTTTGTTGGATTTTTCCAATCAACAACGAAATTTCTCTCGTTTCAACAAATTGTTGATTCGTTGATAGGAATTGGTTTGTGAAACTTTTTTCTTTGGGATTCGCTTCCATAATATATATTCTCTTTTTCATAGTGAAATTTTGCTCATCTGACCGTGGACATAGGTCAATTTGACTGAACCACCTAAATCTATTGTCTATCCATTTTATTAATTTCTTCTTTGCTATTATCTTTTATGGGCTGCCAAGAGCACAAATCAATTTTATGAGCACAAATCAAGTAATTATCTTTTATGGGCTTCCTTTATCAATTTCCTGGGATATGCCCTAACATCCTCTCCAAATATTAATTCGGTTCCATATCTTTTGATGAACATAATCAAGCTCAACTTGCAAAAGCCAAACTAGACTTAAATTGGATATAAATTGAAAATTTTTTCAAAAAAATTGTCCATATTATGTACAAGAAGTCTTGAGCAAGTAAAGATCAAAAGGGAATTATTATCGTTAGGAAAAAAAAAAGTAAAGATAAAAAATACCAAGTTTTCCTTGTTATACTGACTTTTCAGTATTTTAAGAATTTCAACAACTTTCCTATTAATCCAAGTGAAACAAGATATAATAAAAGAGCAAAATACACAAAACTTGTAAAAGTGACACCACTGATCAGTCATTTATCATAACCACAAAATTCATTGGCAGCCTAATTCTTTAGATGTATGTACTCATCAGATTTTGAAGATTGAATTGCAATAGCCTATATCAAGTAGTAAACAAATCAGTTCGTGTTGTCTACTTCACAAGCCATGCAAAGTATATATTTGCCTAGTTATTTATTATTCTAAGCTCAACCTACAACCTTTTTACAAACACGATGGCTTTCAAAACTTATAAAATAATTTTCACCCTCCAATGAACGGAAATAACGAATGCCGATTATACACAACGGATCTTCTGTCTCACACCCTGTGCCACTCTCTGTCCCACTTTTTATTATATTGCTATTTCTCTTTCACAAACATCATGTTTTAATTCTTTTTTGTTTCCTTAAGATCCAATAACTCTTAATTGAGTAATACACAAAATTTAACAAACTCAAAAAATCAAAATGCATAAAAAATGAGATTTTTTATGAATTTTCTGCTGTATTTTTTAATTTTCTATTATATATTAGTTTTTTGAAGCTGTTGTATTTATTTTTTACTCAATTAAAAGTTATTGGATACTAAGGAAATAAAAAAGAATTAAAACATGATGTTTGTGAAGGAGAAATAGCAATATAATAAAAAGTGGGACAGAGAGTGGCACAGGGTGTGGGACAGAAGATCCGTTGCGCCGATCATATGAGTGAAGCACTGGGGAGGTGAGAAGGAGGTGAGAGGAAGAGGGTAAGAAGCACAGGAGGGGGGCGGTGCGACTTGGGAGGGAGGAGGTGGAGAGAAGGATGGGGAAGGAGGAGAGACGAGAGGAGAGCATGTGGAAGGGGTGTTTCGATAAAATTCATATCAATTCTTTGGTGTTTTGAGTGAACTCCTAAAAAAGTATAGTGGTTTATAGTATAGTGAAGTTTTAAGCAAATTCTCAAAAAAGACACAATCTCTAAATGGACATCTTTTTCTAAGAACATTTTTCCTTTAAAAAAAATGGCATCTAAATGGAGCCATTAATAACACTTCATATCCCAAAAAAAAAAAAAAAAAACGCACACACACACACACACACATAGAGATACACAACTTATCCTCATCCACCGATTTCTATAAGAAAATGACAAAAAGAAAAAAAAAAAAAGACAAAATCATACTCTTAAACGTGGGACACTTAAGCCTCGTTTGAAATTATAGTGCTTTTAAAAATGCTTTTAAGACATTTGGAGAATATAATCACATAAAATTCGGAACGGAGTTTTTGGTGTTAAAATCATTTTTAGTAAAAGTTCAAATTTGGTACTTTTAGAGTAATTTTTGTGATTTAAAAAATAAAATATTAATTTAATCATTTTATTCTATATTATAAACTAAATAAAAAGATAAATATATTTAAAAATTTTAAAATCACACATTATTTAATACAATAAATACTTATTAAACTATGTTTCCAAATAATATATTTAAAAGCACTTAAAATACATAATAAATACTTTTATTAAAAACTCTATTGAAAAAGTGCTTTTCCACAATTAGTTACCACAACTCCAAACGAGTCCTTAATCTAAAATCAACTGCACTTAATTTTTTTGGCTTTTCCACAATACTACCACAGATCACATTTATGCTTCATAAACCCATGTACAATTTCCCCATGAAGGTAAACATGAAACACCTCCTGTAGAATTCGACATCTTTCTGATATTATAATTATTTCATACATTAACTCAACCGGCACAGTAATTTGAAAGAAACCCAAAAGAAGAGGTCAATGGTATCTAGAGTACATGACTTGAAGCTGCTATTTGCAGCTAGCCATTTCAACAGAGTGCACATACAAAAACTATTATACACCATTCTTTTGACAGCAAAACGTTACCGATTAATTTGTATTCTATACATTAATTTACCTTCTGTAGCCTGCAAAAAGTCCAAGAGCAAAAAGTTGGTGTATGTGTGTAAGGCTCGTGTATAAACATTTAATCAATGATAAGTAAATTGATATATAGCTCTATCAACTCAGACATCTCTATGTTTCCAACTTCCAGTATTTCTACCTAAAACTCCTGCATTCAACAATCCCAGTTTAGTAATTCCGCCGCAGCTCTTAATCACATTCAAGTACCTGGAATGTGTTGTGTATCCCTTTTGTTGATTGGGCTTCTTTCTGGAACTTCAGAGATATAAAGCTCACGCTCTTTATTCATGGTATTCTTTTGGGATGTTGTGAAGATCATAACCACTACCGAAGCTTGTGATGTCCTTTTTAGGACGGATATATACATGAAGAAAATCCATCATCTTGCAACATTCGGGGTATGCCGTCCATATTTAATTGATCTCTATTGGTATCCCTGAATCAATAAAGAAATCTTCAAATTTTGCAAGAGAACTTAACTGCTGACCAAGAGAAGCAATTGTTTTTTGGCACTCTGCAAATTTACTAGCTGCCAGTGCTAATTCCTTCTCCTGTGACAGACAAACAAGCATACACAGATCAACAAATTATTTGTAAGGCTTTTATACATGATACTGGGAAGGGTAAAATAAAAAAGGAAGTCTAGCAACAGAAACGTCTTTAGTGCCATTTGTCCCACTCATTGTAATTGTGTCATCTACAAATTACGTATTGGTGCGATTCCTCTTCAAGATCCCAAGGAAAGCCATCAGTAAAATTTCATTCATGTCAGATAAGTTTTGAAATAAGGGATACTTAAAGTAACATCCAAACCAAATTACATCTGTGGAGTTACCTAGAATGTTTTTCAATGGAAAGGACACAATTACTTGAAAGCTGAGGACCTCATGAATGCAACCCAAGAAACACACAAGCCTTTCTTAGAGTTAGGCCAAGTTAGCAAGTCACAATTGAATGGCTGAAGTGTAAGAAACTTTGAAATACTGAGAAAAATAGAAAGCCTTGCAAGCATCCTTGATAAAGCATTGTTTCATCTGTTAGCAACAAGATTTTAGACCATGTCTATCCTAAAACTTCATGTAGAATTTTATTTGATGCATCGATGTAATGTTTTTTCACCTTGATGAAGATGACAGATCTTACTGACAAAGCCTTAGCAACACTGTGCCTAATTAATAATAACATTTCAAATGATAATCAGAGTTGTCCTCAAGCAATCTTGAAAAATAACCACAAGAATGATTGATATTGCCAGGCTAGTTCAAAGCAATTTATGCCCTAAAAAATACTTAGAATGCTAAAAGAGCCCAAATAGTAGGACAAATATCAGTGGTCCAAATCCATGAGACATCATATATAAACCATATTGGCAAATTCAGAACCATCTTTTCCAAGTAGGCAATGCAAAATCTTGACATGATCTAAAATCCTCCAATTGTAGGATAATTGCCAATTCTTTCAGCTTTTCCAAGGGGAAGCCTTGGTACAATGGCAACAGTGCTCCATTTTAAGGTTGCAGATGAAGTACTAGCAACAGCTTGATGCAAGATGATAACGTTGCGGATGAAATACCAGTAACACTATCCTATTTAAGAAACATTGCCAGTAATCAGTAAAGACCATTGAAATTGTCCTCTAGGAATGGAAATTTCCAGGAATGAGTATTTCTAGGCTAATTCAATGCTTTCATGTCCAGGACATACTTAGATAGCTAAATCAGACCAAATAGCATGACAGGTATAGGTTGTCCGAACCCGTGTAGTCATCATGAACCATATTGACAAAATCAGAGTCACGCTATTGAAGTAGGTAATATGAAACCATGAGATGATCTAAAGAAATTCAAGCAGATGGCAGTGTAGTAGCTTATAACTTTGATTTTTCAACTTAGTACTTAATAAGTTTCGTGTTGCAAGTCCTCAAGACTGTGTTTAGTAACTTACCTGATTTATTTTGACCTCTCCAGTAGTTGCTGCTTTCCAAAGCTGAGATTTATATTTTAATTGTAAGATCTCAGCATTCAGTTTCTGACAATTTGCAAAAGCTTCATCTGACAGAGCACGTTCTTTCTGAATATCTTCTTCCAAATTACAGATGCTTGATCGCAGCATCTGAAGCTCAAGTTCCAAAGCTTTGACTCTTGACTCTGCAACTTCTTTCTTGATGTTTGTGGCTTCAAGTTCAGCCTCTCTCTTCTTGTTTGATTTATTTGCATTAGCTAGCTGAGCAGAAACCTCAGACAAATTGATCTCTGTTTCCTCCAAAAGTTTAGTTGATTTCATAAGTTTTTCACTGGTAGCCTTGACGTCCATCTCAGCAGCACTTTTTGCTTCATTTGCCATGCTTAACTCAGATTTGAGGTCTAGTATAGTAACTTCTGCTTTTGCTATCTCCTCCATGAATTTCTCAAGCTGTTTGTTGGTAGACTCAACTTCAGCCTCAACTGTTCTCCTACCTTCATTTGCCATAACTAGTTGAATTCTTAACTCTGTCAACTTTGTCTCTGTTTCCTCTAATTGATATCTTGATGCCTCAAGTTGATGTTGACACTCAGTTAGAGACATTTTTAATTGAACTTTCTCCTCTTCCATCTTCTCCAACTTTTCCTCCAGCTCCGCAGTTCGATTAATCATGGCTTCAAGTTCAGTTTTTAAAATGTTCACCCTATTGTCACTTCCAGAGTCAGGGCAGCTTTCCTCCTCTGCTTCTGGTAGAGCAGCAAGCCTCTCCATTTCAAGAAAATCATTCATGAGATGCAGCTCGTCAGAAGGGACCATGAAGTTTCTTCCAAGAGGTTTCTCATTCTTAAACTGATCTAGTTCTGATATTGAAATAGATGCACTCAAATCAGACAGGCCTGGCTCATAATCATTCAGCTCCAAACCACTCATTTTGCAGCTCTCATTGTCAACTGCTGATAGCCTCTCCCCACAATCTGATAGACTATCAGTGAAGGATGCTAAAGATCTGTGATCATTAACAGTTGCACCTTTGCGGTTCAGCATCTTTAACCTACGGCATTCTGCTTCAAGCCTAACTACCTTCTTGATGCTCTCCAGATGTTGCTTACTAGCTGTTTCAGCAGCATGGACGATGAGATCCCTCTCAGATGTCCTCAGTTTCAATTCCTTGTCTTTGGAAAGAAGCTCAAGTTTGAGAACTGCATTTTTGTTTTCTGCAGCTTCAAGTTTAATGCAAAGATCAGGAAACGTAGAGGTAACAGCCTCTGTTTCGGCATTTTGAAGTTTAGTCTGAAGGTTGACAAGCTGATTCTCAAGTTCAGCTTTTGCTGATTCCCATTCAACAATTTTATGCGCAACAGCCTCATTAATCTTCTGTTCTTGTTCTTCTTTTGCTTGTCGAAGCTGTCTCAAACACTCTTTTAGTGCGCTGTCAAGATTTCCAACCCGTTCTTCAAGCGCCAAGTTTTCTTGGGTTAGTGCCTCAGCACGTCTTTTTAGTACTAGTACTTCAGCTTCAGCGTTCTCCCATCCTAAAGGATTACAGGAAATAGGTTCAATTGTTGTTCATCAGGCTACAATCTAGGAATGGCTCTGACAGCATGCTTCAAACTAGATGGCAAATACTACAAAGTTACATCACAAGATGTCATGACTGGTTGAAATTTCATTTAACAGTTGCTCAACCATTATGTATAAAAGGTCACACCAAGTCCCTGATGCAGCAAAAGCTTTATCCAGAAACCGATCTGAAAACAAAAGTTCCAGAAACATCCAAACAAAATGCCTAGTACCACATTACCACATAATCAGATGCAATGGACAAAAGAATCAAACATCACCAAGCCTGTTGATATTTCCCATCACAATATATACTCAAGAAGATTGATACAATTTATTCTTAAGAGACTGAGAATCAGCCTAACTCAAAATAAGATGGTGCAACTATTTTCAGCTTGGTAAAATATAAAGTTCCAAGCAATACAGCAAGAAGTCAATAAATGTCCGTTGACCCATGGATGCTAATGTGATCTAAAATGTGAAGAGTTATAGAATTCAGAAGAGTAATTTATTACTCAGTATCACCATCAGTCATCTTTTTTATATAATGTGAATATTTGTTCCCTGTCTCGCTATCTGTCATCTTTTTACTATACTGTTTTTCGCCCATGGATGCTAACAGGATATAAAAAGCCAAGAGTTATAGAATTCAGAAGAATAATTTATTACTCAGTATCACCATCAGACATATTTTTATATAATGAAAATATTTGTTCCCTGTCTCGCTATCCTACATCATTTTACTACATTGGAACCGTATTAAGTACCACCATTTTCAGACCATCAACTGAGCTTATAAATGACGTCCAGAACCCACTGAAAGATAAGTAACTAGTTCAGGTTTAACGTAGAGTAGTAGCCATACCTGAGACAGCTTCCTCAGCCACTTTAGCATGCTGCTTCACCAAGTCCTCCTTTGCACGGAGGTTAACAAGAGCCTCTGAGAGTTTATCTGATAGAGCCTTCATGTTATCATGGAGTTCTTCAATGCTAGGAGTAGTAGCTTTAGATGTGACTTCTGGTGACTGAATATTATTATTCAAAAGTGCCTTTGAGGACAAAACTACATCTATCAGAAATCATAAAGAAAGGCCTTAAAAAATAACAGTCAGTCTAATTCTTTAAAAAAATATTTGTGTTTTGCTTTGTCCATCTGGGGGAGGAGCAACTTGATCAAATAAGGAATGAATGTTAAGAATTTTAGACCGCCTTTATATTCAATGAATCAAAATACTCTTGTGCCAGAGAGAAAAAGAAGAATGCATATATATGCATAAATAAAAGTGGATAACTAGAGCTACAGGAAATAAACTGCAAGGCACTAAGATGTTCTAAAGATTTCAATATTTGCATTAGTTTCAAGCAATAGAAAGGTAGCAGAAATGTAGGAGCTTAGTGTTAGCTTTTGCTACACTGTAAATAAAGAAACAAACTAGCAAACTACATATGAAGACTAAACTACCAAAACTGCACCAGTGCCATCTACAATGGTAAGTTTCATATGAGTCCAGACATATAACCCATGACTTTTATCTCATACTTCACTGCCAAGGAATATAGAATTCATTCCATTGCTAAACCTCTAACAAGCTTTGTACACAAACGTAGATCGTAGACTGGCTTCAACTAACACGGTCTTTCCCTGACCCACAAAAATGAATTACTCTTCATTTCTTCTATGAGCCAAATGAGTTTCGTTTTGGCAAGAGACCAATCGGAAATTATACAAATTTTGTTTATATTTCCTTTATTTAAAAGGTATTTCCATAAAATTTTAAAATATGAGTGTGACATGAATATTTGAAGGGTATAACTATTATGACCGGAGATAAATTTATTTTATCTTAATTGACTACAAACCATAGACAAATTCAAGAATTATAATATGACATCTAACGGAGAAAAGAAACTTCTAATCAGGGTACACACAACTTGTTTTGCATCCAAGAACCTGAAACCTCTCAGGTTCAATGAAAAGCATAATGTGGGATTGGAAACAATAGAATTGCCTCTATTTTCTAGTCTAACAAACTATTCACGACAATGGATGATTTGAGATAACAAAAAGATAAACTAGGGAAATGTCCTTATGCTTTAATTGGGCTAATTGTTTGTACTCTACAGTTGATGGAACTTTAGAGACAAGTAGCATAGCGTTTTGGTGGCAAAATTTTGAACATCATGATAAAAGGTGAGGGCAACCAATGTGGTTCAGTTCTGACATATATCCACACAAGGTGGTCCATAGAGATACAAAAAGCTACCACACATGCAACGAGATAGCCAGATACAGTATATTGACTCTGTCAGAGGCTGAGTAGAAAGTATTTTGTAATATAGTCATCAAACATGAGTTTGTGCAAAAGATTGGTTTAGAAATTTTCTCTTTGAGGATTTCATCGGTCCAAAATCTTGGAATTCCGATATAGATAAGCTAAACATCATGTAATCTTGATTCCACCTTTGCTATTGTCAGTAAATCATTTCTAGCTTGACATGCTACACTTTGTAAACCCAACTGAAGCAAGACTAATTCTAATGTCTAGCAATCAAATGCTCACATGTATTCCTCTGTCATTTATGCTCTTAAGTAACAAAATAACTTTCTAAACTGAGCATCAAGAAATGTCCAACAAGGGTAAAACCCCTTCAATTCTACCAAAAAAGCAGGGGCATATCCTATAAAAGAAACAGACACTAGCTATCATTTACATTAAACATCTCTATATCCCAACCCCATTGTACAGCCAATTTCCCCTGTTCCTCCTAACTCATCTCCGGCTAGATTTGACACACTGTCCATCAGAGAAAATTTACAAGAAAAATCAGCAGCCACTAGTTCTAAACTGGTAATTTTCTGATTTATATACAATTTTTTTTTCACAAACAAACTCTGATAAAAGCAAGCTTGTTCATGAAATGAGTCTTTAATTAAACTGTGCAATAAGGCATGGAAATTCAATTAAGTTGAAGTTCCACATTTGTTACCAAAACAAACACCCAGAATATATATATATATATATATTCGCTTAAAATCTGCAAATTTGACTGCAATGAGATGATAGACAATGGGTTTAGTTTAGAATGCCAAGTGAAGCAACCAACCTGATCATCAGAGAATCTTTCGGAATACGATGATATGGATCCAGAGCTGTCTGTTTCCCCAGTGGGACTCTTCTCTGATGATTTCCTCCTCCAAAGCCAACTTCTCCGGTCCATCCTCAATCAGTTCATCCACAATAGAACCTTAAACAAACACCAAAAATCTCAATTTCCGTAGCCCCCCTACAACCATCCAACATTTCCAGCTAAATGCTGGCAATTGATTTCAATCCATGACAAAAAAAAAAAAATTCAATTTCAAATCAATCAAGTTCCAGAATCCCAGTTCACTAATCTTGTCAATGAATCATAATCATCATCACAATCAGCGGGAAAATGAAAATCTACACCACCCCATAACTAACTGAAAATCAGAGAAAAGCCATGCTCTTCTATCCCTGCAAGCTTAAAGGTTGGTAAGGAGGAAAGTGAAAGAAGTTGAAAGAGGTTAAAAATGTTCAGAAACTTAGCTTAGAATTCACTCTCCAACTAACATTTTCAACACCACCCACCTTCCTTCTCCCCCCAAAATATAAAACAAAAACAAGAATCCAAATTTCAAAAATTTCTAACTGGAACCCATTTCAAATTGGCAACAGAAAATGCTAAAAACACAACTAATTTGATTGGTACCTTTCATTTGCCCTCATAATCCTCGAAGACATAGAGTGAGATAAAGACATAGAGTGAGAAAACAAGTGCAAAATTTTGCCCCTATATAAAGATTGTTTCTTGACTTTTGGTGTCAAAAAGATTTTGTCACTGTCGATTTTGTCATTTTCATTCCGATATAATCAGCAATAATCACTATCTAACCATTAAAGCCGTGACACCTAAATGATTAAAGTAATTCATCACAATAACTAGTCATTAAAACACACATGTTATGATAATTAATTACAATTAGTGATTACGACATACTCGACGTGTGTAAACAATTAAATAAAAAATATTATTATAACTTTTTTTGCTAATATTTTTTTAGTCAAAATTAAAGTGCGAGTGGACAAAAAGATTTGTGACTAATATTTTGTTCACATCTCAATAATATCTTTACATTAAATTTGATTTAATGTGAAATTTAAAAGCGTGTCACAAATAGTGAATTCAAGAAGTAACAATTGATTTTTTTTTTCTTCTTAATAGAATTGGACCATTTTATCTTCTTACTTACTCACGCTGAAAATAACAAGATACAAAATGACGTAGCGTTGCAAAGAAAGGATCTCGCGCTTTATGCTTTATATATCGTATGTATGAAAAATATATATTCAACATAAAATTGACGATTTTATCTCTAAAATATTCTTTTGTCGAAAACAGATATGCAAATTTTAACTCTTTGAAATTTGTTTTAGAAATAAAACTTATTCTCATAAGTTTGCTTTAATGAATAATTTAATTTTCAATAAATTGCAAACACATGGGTGCAACGGATCCAAAGAGGTAAAGCTCAAAATTGAATATGTGAAAAGTTGATAGCTAAGGAAAAAAAAAATCATATGTGCACATAAAAAAAAAATGAAATGCACACATTTTATGTTTAGGGTTTTGGTTTTGGCTAAAACAAATTAATATTGGGCTTGTGTCGTTTTTTGGAAAAGTGATTTTTTTTTTTTTTTGTCTGGAAGTGTTTGGTAATTTACTAATTTCAGAATTTCTATAGTGGGCCAACACTCTTTTTTTTCTATGCTTTGCCTACGCCATTGAGACACTAAAAGTTGTAATGCAATTATATATCTCAAGAACATGTACTTAGAAAATTCCAAAACACATTTTCTAAGGAACTTTTGATATGACATGTACATTTTGTTTAATAAGCTGCTGCACTAAAATTGTTTTTAAAAATACAAGCAACCAAAGAATAGAGAATAAGTGTATGCACAAATTTTTAAGTGATTCTGCACTTTCCAAAAGTTAACATGCACATGACTACTAAAGAGAAAGGAGTTCCCATAAAAGATAGCATAAAGAAGTTCCCTTTTTGCAATTGTATCTTCTATCAAAAAAAAAAAAAAAAAGCCTTTAGTCCAAATAGATAAAGAAGCTGCTTTTTTTGCAATTAATTCCACAATCCAGCCAACTTCCATGCATGAAAATGTATAAATAGGAAGGAAAGAAAGAAATAGAAAGAATATTTCCAAGAGAATTTTTGAGGTGGAACGGTGGAAAGAAGAAAGGGACAGAAGATGACTCATAAAAACGGAACAAAGCCTCCACAATTGTCACTAGCAGAATAAATATAGACACTAAAATAGTGAATATAAATACTAACACAATAACACGCAAAAATATAATATTTTTTCTTACTTTTGAAATTTGTACCCAAAAATTGTATTAGTGTCTATGTTTATTCTATGACATTCTATGCTATACAGGACAATTGTCACTCACGACTAGGGGTGCAAACGAGTCGAATTTTGATCTAATCGAACAAAGCATTTAGTTAATTTTATGAAATTCGAACTCGAACTCAAGGTCGACGAGTTCAAAATGTCAAGTTTGAACTCGAGCTCGACTCAAAAAATAATAATAATAATTATTATTATTATTTTATTTTTAAAAATAAATAAAATAATAATAAATATTAGGGATATATATAATTTTATTTTTAAAATAATAAATAAAAAATATATAATCGAGCTTGCGAGCCAACGAGTTTAATGTTTTTGAACTCGAGTTCGATTTGATTGAACTCGAGCTCGACATTGACTGATCGCGAGCGGTTCGATTCGTTTGCAACCTACTCACGACAACGATAAAGGATTATAATCCAATAAAACCCATCAGAATTAAGCACTCATTTATTTCAAAACCAGAATGTGTAATTTAATCACTAGGTTGCATATGATTCTGGTACCAGTCGCTCATATGCCATACAGTGAAATTGTCACTGACAACCAGAATTTTCGACTTTTATGAATCAAGTGCTGCTGCTTCAATTATTGGATGAGAAAAGTGACGAGGATGATAATGAATAATAGCTAAAAAGAAAGAAAATCGGGGGGGTGGGAGAATCAGATGAATATTGTGCTGGAAATGAAAGGCTAGGGGAGAGTGACGGGTGAGTAATTGATGAATGATTAAGTTTATTGAAGACAATGACATATTTGGATTATTATTAGTGTACTATTACTACAACTATTTGTTTTTGCTTTTTTCAAATGGAGATTGCCGCGCCCCGCGAGCAGGGAATCGCGAACAAATTTCGGAAATGATTGTGGGGAGTGGGAGCCACGTTGATTGATCAAAAACATTTGATTTGAGCCCGGAAAGTCAGCCTGATTTTCTGTACCTTGTTGGATTGGGGAATATCGGTCATTCACAATTAATAAAAGAAGGGTTATTATCAATTTATTCCCTTAACTACTATTAATTTACTTTATAACGTTATCTTTTAGTCACTTCACTCCTATTCCTATAAGTAATTCAGCTCAACATGTTAAAAATTTTAGACAAAAATACCCCTTTATTCTATAGCTTTACAACATTGTTATTATCACTTGATCCCTTGAATTTATAGTGATACAATCACTTTAATTCCTAACATTATTTTCTAGACATTTTATCTCATCATTAATCTAACCAGTATGGTCAAAAAATTTTAAATATTTACCCCTTTTTTAAATATATAATTAAAAATAAAAAAATTGGATGGTTATTCTTCCTTTTTTCACTTCAAGAGATGCAAAAACATAAAAATAAAAGGATTTTCTCAAATTTCTTTTTTTCACGCTTATTAATGCTAGAAAAAGAAAACGAGATAGAAAATTAGATTTTACAAAGAAAATAAAAAAGAGTATAACATTATCGTATTACTTTAAGGTTGTCAGAATTAAGATTAGAATTTGGTGATATATCGAAAAGTGAATTAATTTTAAAATAATAAAAGTATTTAATTCTTTCTTATTTGTATTTAAAAAAGAAAAAAGAATTGAGCTCTTTCTCTCTCTCTCTCTCTCTCTCTCCTCCTTTTTCTATTTTTTTCAATATTAATAAAATTGCCAAAAAGAAAGAGATTAACACTTTGACTTTTTTTCTTGATACTAAAAAGGAGAAATGCTACTCTAAATTATTTATTGTTTTATTGTACAAAGAGGAGGGTACTTTTTTTTTAAAGTTTTTTAACTTACTAAGTTGGTTTAATGGTGGGATAAATTGTCTAAAAAATAATTCTTTGGGGTAAATTGATAATGAGGGTATAGTTTATAGGGATAAAGTGATAATAATTTTAAGAGCTAAACACATCTTTTCACTTTAATTAACAAACGCCGTTAAATTTGACCGTTAGTTTTGGGAGTAAAGTGACTAAATGGTAACGTTAAAGGGAAGATTAATAGTGACACTGAACTTTAAGGGAGTAAAGTGATAAAAACTCATAAAAGAATTAATTTTCTATACACTGATAGTTTCTACACTCTCATTATTGAATGTATGACACATAATTCGAATTTGGATTTGAAACCCAAATTTTACATATGTGTCGTGCATTCAAGTATCCAACCATAATAGTGCATCTACCATCAGTGTATATAAAATTTACTTTTAATATAAATCTTGAGAATATTTTTTACAAAACAAAAAAATAAAAGTCTTGAGAACAAAAAAGGTCCAGTATGCAGCAATAACAAAAATAAATAAATAAATTGGACTGATTTTCTATACACCAATTGTGTATATATTATCACTATTGGATTCATGATAACTAATCTGAATTTCAATGTGAATTCAAATACTGTATATATGTCATGCATTCAAACATGATACATACATTATCAGTATATATAAAGATTAACTCCAATAAATATAGATACATGAAGCCTTCTCCTATGGGATATATTATGAATGTCGTGTTACTTTATTTTGTTTTGTTTCACTATTAATCTTTCTTACACTATCAATATATACATTGATGGATTTGGATGTATGTCACATCATCTCATTTTGAATTTGAACATCAAATTTTATTTACATTTCATGCATCCAAAATTGCTAGTGCATATACTATCAGTACATAAAAAATTAGGATAATTTCAGAAACCTCTCCCGAGGTTTTTGACAATTGTGGCTACCTCCCCTAAGGTTTGAAAAATTACACGTATCTCCCTTGATGCTATGAAAAGATGATGATAGCGTTCACAAACTTTACAAATTTTAAATGAAAATGAGCTTAAAAGAGAAAAATAGAAATTCTTTTTTGGTAACACTTCTTTATTCTAGAGCTCTAACGTCATCTAATCGAGAATATTATACTTCATTCCTAATTTTCTGACTAGATTTATTAATCAATTTACAAAAGTTCGACCAACCTAATAAGAGGACATTTGTTAAAATAAGTATCTTCAAAAGTTACTTAACCAAAAAATATGTCCAAATTACTAAAAAAGAATCCTTTCAAAACATGGTCTAAATTTTCCTGCAATAAACTAACTTGAAATTTTCACCTAATGGATAATGGTGATAGTTGATTTTTAGCATTTAATTTGTTTTACATATGAAAAAGGGGATGGTGTTGGATATTTATTGGATTTTTTTGGCTTACACCAGTAATTATTACTAAGACATACTTTCTAGGGGAGATTTCCGTAATTTTTCAAGCATCAGAGAGGTGATTGCAATTGTCACAAACCTCAGGAAAGGTTTCTGAAATGATTCCTAAAGATTTACCCTTTATTTTAATTCCAAATTGAAAATTCAATTTTCATATCAAAACTATGTAGTTTTAAATTCTGTATGCACACACATTTATGAGCAAGGGTGCCACGAGAATTGTTATTTGGGAAAGGAGACTTATATGGAGGGGCCAATTAATATTTTTATTAGAATTTAGGGGGAAAGGGAAAATTTTAATTGGGTGTAAGTGAAAGTTTA